GCCAAAGAAGCGTCGATACTAGCAGCATAGGGGTCTCCACCATTGAACCCTGTCCACCCCATCCACAGCAGGCCAGCACCAGCTAGCATTAGCAAGATGTTGTTTGGAGGAAAATTTTGTCTGTCCTTTGTCAAACGAGGACCAACCTGATGATCATTTTTCGGAACAAAAAGTCTCATCAATTGTATAAGTTAAGTTATTCAATTTAGCATCTTTTAATTGTTTAAACTTTGTAGATTAGATGGAATTGAAATGTTGAAGTTTAGTTTTTCCTTGAAAAATGACCGTTTTTTCTTTTTTTTTTTGGAGAGTTTATATTAATGGCACCAATTCATATCTTATATCTAAATGACCTTTTTTTTTTTTGTATCTAAGAAAGCCAAAGCCAGTGAAACTTGAATTTTCTACAAGAATTAAGTAGCTTGGAATTTATTTCTATTTTCGGTAAAAGGTTACGACAATTTTGCTAAGCAAACAGACCAAAAGAAAAAACTATTGAAAGAATGCTATATGTCTTGTTCCTTTGAAGTGCGGTATAATGTTGAAAATTAAGTATTGAAAGAAAAAGGGCAAAATACACTTTACCTCCCGTATTTTAGTAATTTTTCACATAACCTCCTATAGTTTCATAAATTATATATAACCTTCTCATAATTTGGATTAAAGTGTTAAAATGACGAAAATGATCATTTGTAACAAAACTCATAAAAATGTCAAAACTATCCTTATTTAAAAACTACAATGGCTGATAAGGGGGTTGATACTACTACTTTTGTTAAATATAAATATGCTAAAACATAAAAGCACTAGACAAAACCCTGCCTTTTTACACTTAAAACTTCTAGATGAAGTTGTAAATTTCATTCTGGATCTTATTCAATAGTTGCAGCACAAATTTTCTTGGAAGATTGAATGTCAAGAAAAAGACGAGATATCCAAACTTCATCCCACTAGACAAATTAAGAACCTCGAAATTTTCCTTCGTTGTTAGCAAAGCAATACTCTACTTCTTTGAATAGTTTCACGGACACGTTTCTTGGAAAATTGCTTAATTACAAAATTCTAACAATGTCAGAATTTCATAGACATGTTTCTTGGATATCTTTAATCAAACTAAAGAAGAACTAGAAATGTAGGTGGAAATCTATAACTGAAGAACAAAAGTTAAGAAATCTCACGAGAAAAATTTACCCAATAAGCAGCTGTGAAGCCAGCAACTCCCGAAGATAAATGGATAACATAACCACCAGAATAATCAATGATCCCAGCTGATGATAGCCAACCGTTAAGAGACCAAATGGTATAAGCTCCAAATGTGTAAGAAAATGTTAGCCACAGAGGAACAAACAACATCCATGCATAAAAATTCATTCGTCCCAACACAGCCCCAGCAATCAAAATCAAAGTAATTGCAGCAAAAACAAACTGAAAAAACACCATAGTTGCATTTGGAAAATTGCCAGTAAATGCTTGTGACAACAGGTACTTTTGTTCCAAGGCAACGTTAATTTTCCCCCAGATTGGGATCAATTCGTTCCCAAAAGAAAGTTGATATCCCCAGCAAACCCAACAAACCAAAACAGAAGCAAAAGCATATAATGCCATGAAAGCTGAATTTACTGCCCATTTCTTCTTCACAGCTCCTCCATACAAGATTATCAGGCCTGGAACACTTTGTAAACCGACGAGCGTTGCTGCCGTGAGCTGCCATGCATTGTCTCCCTTGTTCATCCATTCAGGGTTAGCGTCATTAGGCTGCAGATTCTTAGGAAGCCAAAAATATGGAGGGGGTGGTGCGGAACTCATTTTTGATGGATTAATTCTCTTTAGAGTTCAATCCTAGACTCTAAAAAGATCAAGAAATTTTTGCAATATTGGTACATGCCGGTATAGCTTGTTTATATACACAAAATTCTTGAGTTCATGATTCTCACGATGAGCTGTCCTATGCCAGTATCTAGCTATTATAAAAAAAATTGCAGATTCTTTAATTTTTAATGGTTTTTCACCTTGAGATTATTGGTGGGTTCAAAACGATGTTGGATTTATTGATAGGGCTCAAGAACTTGAATGATGTTTTCAAAGTAATTCGTTTGGAGGTTGCTTAATTTTGTTGATCACTTCAAGGTCGTACGATGCTGAAAGTTTGCCATCAGCAACTTCGGGTTCGGGCTGCTGCAGCTGCTACCTACTTCGCCTGATTTGGAATACTGGTATTCATGAGCATTGAAAATGTATCACCAATATTTATGGAATACTACAAAATTGGCAATTCTTGTCTTCAATAGAAAATTTAGAGCTTCTTGATCAATAAAAGTGGAGGAAATACTAAAAACTAAAAGTGGACTAATTCTTCTCGAGTCCTTCGCCTAAGATGGTGGAGCTGTATATTGTGATTTACAGTCATAATATTAACACTAAGATAATCATAGCGATGAAAAGGGCAGGCAGTATCAAAGTTAATTAGTGGTAGTACAAACTTCAGAAATAGTACTATTTGAGAAAATATTTTACTTCTTGATTAACTTTTAGTCTTGAATGGTAATGTGTTATTGCTATTACTACTATAAAATTGATTGATTAGGAATCAGAATCTAGATTAAATGAATCTCTTCTGAAATGGGCTGTAAATAATTCTTTGATTCCTTTATTGATCTTGTTGCTAGTTGTCTATTCAGCTTGTTCTTTAGTTAGGTGTTCCATCATGTTGAAACAAGCAAATCCCTATGTAGACTTAGACCAATTGGAAGCAAGTAATACACATTGTCTAATTAATTTCATGCGATTTGGCAACTTAAACACAGTATCTCTAATTCGGCATGCAACTTGGGGACAATGTATCAAAAGTCATCTACAATTTCATTATGATATTTGAGAATTTGGCTATTGTTTTTTTATATATATATAAAATGAATTCAATATTCCAAGAAAGAGTAACAATATATAAACGAAAACTAACAAACAAATATGATAGCTGGCTCCATTGGCTTCAGTTTTTATATCCGGAATCTGCAGAAAATTGCAGTCCAAATTTATTGGACAAAATTTTACTATTCCACATCAAAATTGTAATACATACTAATTTACGGATTCATTTTCTAACACAAATCCAAGAACCCCCACTGTCAATTTGAATATAGTAGAGGTGGGATCACATGGTTTCATCTGGATCACTTGGAAGAATCATGAAGAGATTTTGATGTGAAGCTGGAGTGTTTCTTACTAAGTTCTTTGTTTGACATTTATAGTAGCATTTGATTATCTGTATTTTTCTCTTGAAGAATCTGCAAGGTACATGAAAATTATATATGAATGCTAATTTGATTTTATTTCTTGCTACTTTAAAACAATGTAATTACGTAGTTCTTTTTTTTTTTTAAAGCCACTATAATTAGTTTTTCTTATGAGGGAGTGTTTTTTTTTAATATGCACTTTGCATCGCATTAGTTAATTGTAGAATCATTGGCTTGCATTTGCCTAATAATATCAAATGGTGTCTTCCCTTTATCCATCGAAATCGAAGGATTTTTTTTTAAAATTTTTACCCTTCGCTCCTTCCCATGCCCTTCATATCCCCAATGGTCTTGGTGTTTTCCCTTTATCCATCCAAATCGAAGGATTTTTTTTAATTCTCTCGTTTCTTCCCATATTCTTCCTATGTCAAAGTCCGCGATTCGTTTTGAATCCTAAATCTTACGCCACGAAGAAGTCTAAAAACCCTATTTTGATCATTGAGTCAACCCCAATAGTTTGCCTAATATTAAATGGGATCACTCATCAATCAAAATATAAAAAATAAAATGAAATGGTATCAATAATCATATTCTATCTGGCCTAAATAAAAATTCTTATTTATTCAGTCATCTTTGATTTGACTCTCGAGACATTTTTTGTTTATTTTTTCCCTTGTAATGATCAAAGTTAATTATTTAGCTAAATTTCTCCTAATTATTTAATAATTAATCTTTGACAAACAGGGATTTTATATGTTACAAGAAGCACATCTTACATTTAGAATTCTTTTATTTTATACATGGCATACACACATAAGATGCTCTGGATGCAAAAAAAAAAAAAAAAAAAAATCATCACAATATAGAGGTCTTTCTTTATATATGTTTTTTTTGCTACACAAATATTAGTATAGTATTATATATAAAAAAGAAATAAAATTAAAATTTAGGGTATTATATAGAAAAAAAGGAAAAATTGTTCAAAACGTTCTTCACATTTTGCAAAAATGACTTTTTTCATCATTTACTTTTAAAAGTATAAATTTACTTCCTTTACATATTTATATTGGTCAAATTTAATCCCTATTTAGATATTCAACTAATTTTTAATCGGAATTCCCTATGTGCTTTGCACGTAATCATTTTTTTAAGGGACAAAATTATCAAATCACATTTCACATAATCCGAACTATAGTTCCTCACATTTCATAAAATGAATTTTTTTCCATCACATTTCACAAAATGAAACTTTTCGTCCCTCATTGATCATGTGTACGAAATTTTTTTATAAACCTATGTATATATCTATTTGATTTTATTGAATTACATGCTACTCGTACTGTTCAATGAAATCAAATAGACATAAATATAAATTTTCAAAAATAAGAAAAAATTATTTGTACACATAATTAATGAGAAATAAAAAACTTGTTTTGTGAAATGTGAGGAATAAAAAAATTTATTTTGTGAATTGTGAGGAATTATAGATCAAATTATGTAGAATATAATTTAACAATTTTTCCCTAAAAAATGATTACGTGCAAAGCATGTGATGGATTTCGATAAAAAATTAGTCGAAAAATTTAGATAAGAATCAAATTTGATCAATATTAATTTATAAAGAACGTAAAATTATACTTTTAAAAGTAACAAGCTAAAATAAGTTATTTTACAAATTGTGATACACGTTTTTTAACTATTTTTCCAAATTAAAATTAAGGGAAAAAACGAGAGGGTTTACTGAAAACTCCATTAAAACAGAACAAACGGAGGGAGCTGTTTTCTGCAGCTTCCAAAACTCTCCTCTTTCTTCCTTCTCCAAACTCCGGCCATTCGTCTCCCTGACGTGGTGGTCTGACTCACTGAGTTAACCGGAACGAGTCTAGTCAAGTGGAGTTCAACGCACAGACATGTATAGGAAGAAAGCTACGCTTCTTACTACTTTCAACTCTCTCGCAACTCTCCCAAAGGTACGCAGATATCCCAACTCTCAGAGCTGCATAAAGACCCTTGCTTTATTGTGTAATTTCAGTACTGCCACTGAAAGATCAGATTTTAGATCAGATTTTGATACCTCCACTGAGATTAATAGCGATTATTATGCTGATTATAAGCAAAACAATAATGGGTTTTATAGAAATAATAGTGGGAAGGTGGGAAATTGGAACGTTGGAGGAAAGTATGGGCAATTTGAGGAAAATCCACATGGGTTTTATGTTAGAAACGGAAATCAAACTGGGGTGGTTTATCAGCAAAACCCTAGTAGGGTTTATCCCATAAACCCTAGGCAGCAAAACCCAGTTGGCAAAAGTGGGGTTTTTGCAAGTAATAGTGATAGCAATATGTCTTTTGATGGCTTTAAGAAGGGGTTTCAGCCGAACCAGGAAGAGCGAAATGGGGATTTCATGCCTATAAATGAGTTTCAGCACGGTTCAGGTGGGCAAAATGTGAATTTTGGGAGGGAAAGCTATGAAAGTATGCAACAGAATTCAGGTGCAATTTATCAGAGACGAGAGGGGGGAAATGGGAATTTTACAAATGGGCATTTCAGAGAGGGCCATAGAACTCAGCTTCAGCAGAGCTCGGTTGGTAGAAGTGGGAATTTGAGTAATGGGGGTTCAGTTGGGGCTGAACGGAATCTAAATTGGAATCACAGAACCAATCCAGCATTACAGACGGGTGGTTTCTCTGATGGTTATGGTGGAGCGTCACAGCATAATGGAATGAGCCATAATGTGGGGAAGGTTGGAACTTTGCAGCAAAATTCTCAGAATATTCATGCTGGAAGACCTGGAAATATTGAACAAATGCAGGGCGGCTATGGTAATGCACGAATGCGTCAGCAAATTATAAGTGAAGATTTGAAAGCGGGTGATGAGTCAAGTGGAAATTATGGAGATATGAATATGACAGGCAGGATTGAGGAGCTTGATCATTACGTTGAAGAGGGTAAACTGGAGGAAGCAGTGAAAGTTTTGGGGTTGTTAGGGGAGCAGGGTATCAAAGTTGATTTGCCTCGTTATTTAGCCTTGATGACTGCATGTGGCAAGGATAAAGCTCTTGAAGAGGCAAAGTGCATTCATCAACATCTTATGAGATCGATACCTAATCTTGAAGTTAGTACTTACAATAAGATTCTTGAGATGTACTGTCAATGCAGAGCGATGGAGGATGCTTATAGTATATTTGAGAAGATGCCACAACATAACTTGACTTCTTGGGACATTATGATTGCTGGGCTTGCTAAGAATGGTCATGGAGAAAATGCCATTGAATTGTTCACGGAATTCAAAGAGTTGGGACTGAAACCTGATGGTCAAATGTACCTTGGTGTTTTTAGTGCATGTGCTGACTTACTTGACACCACTGAGGGCATGTTGCATTTTGAAGCAATGAGCAAAGATTATGGCATTGTTCCATCCATGGAACACTACGTGAGTGTGGTGGACATGCTTGGAAGTGCAGGATATCTGGATGAAGCTTTAGAGTTCATTGAAAAGATGCCAGTGCAGCCAAGTGTGGAAGTCTGGGAAACTCTGATGCATCTTTCTAGAGTTCAGGGTAACATGGAGCTTGGGGACCATTGTGCTGAGCTTGTAGAGCTTCTGGATCCATCTCGACTGAATGAACAATCAAGGGCAGGTCTCATACCATTCAAAGCTTCAGACCTTTCTAAAGGGAAGGAAAAGAGGAAAGCTGATGGTCATAATCCTCTTGAGGTTAGGAGCCGGGTCCATGAATTCAGGGCAGGAGATAGATCTGATCCTGATCATGAAAAATTATATGCACTGCTTCGGGGACTGAAGCATCAAATGAAAGAGGCTGGTTATATTCCAGAAACTAAAGTTGTGCTCCATGACATTGACCAAGAATCGAAGGAGGAAGCTGTGCTCGGACATAGTGAGAGACTTGCTGTTGCCAAGGGTCTCTTAAATACCCCTGCTAGGTCTGCAATGCGGATAATTAAAAATCTTCGTATCTGTCTTGATTGTCATAATGCTATGAAGATTATCTCAAAGCTGGTTGGTAGGGAACTTATTATGCGAGATGCCAAGAGATTTCACCATTTTAAAGATGGGGTATGTTCTTGTCGGGATTATTGGTGAAGACCACTTTGAGGTACTATTTAGATTCTTCTTCATATGATGGTCAAGGGACCTCTAACTTAAACTCTCTTAGCATGAGAACACATCTAGATTCTTTTTTGAAAATATTTGTTACATAGAGTGTGTTCCCCTACTTTCCTCTTGTGCACACAGAAGAAATAGAGATGGAAAACATGGCAGATGTATATGGGAACAGGAATGGGTCTTTCATTTGGCTCAGTATTGTTGTCCAATCTTTCAATGGTCAATTAGAACAATAAATATTTTTATATTCTTCATTAGCATTTGCATGGGGTAATATGAACTTGTTGACAGGATGATTCTCAAAGCTTATATCTTTTGAAGACTTTTCTCTGATGGACGTTGGTTCCTTGAGGTCTGGGAATGTATTATGAGATCAAACTGCATTCCTGATTAGATAGCCTCGTAGCGTTCCATGTTAGAAGTTCCTGTTAGCTTGTGGTGAAGTTTTGACTGTTACTCATTTCCTTCTGTTTTTAGTGTGAGGAGTATTTTTTTTTTTTTAGTTCCGGTGTGAAGAATCCAACCTGACTTGTCTAGAATCTTGGATGAACTTGGAACAGCTCTAGATAGATAAGATACTTCTTATTTTACATTGCGGAATACTTATTTATGTGGGATATGTAGATCATTTTATTGATGTAAAGAAGCAGATTATACATTTTGAAAGGCATAGTCCTTGAATTAACTTGAGCAGTGAATATCTTATCTGGAATCCTTTTGTTCATTGCATACAGTAGCAATATAACATGTTGTGCAAGTTTTGTGTTCTGAATAGTGGCTTTGGATGGATACTTAGAGAGTGACCGTTGATTTGTTTCTGTTGGTAAATGTTGAAGAAATATTCACCTAGGGGCAGATAACTAACTAAAATGGAAGGATTTGGAAGTTTCTCATATTGGATTTATTTCTTTCTTCAACCAGAAAATCAATGTGTACGAGTGGAAACTTGTTAGTGCATTCAAGGGTGTACCCCTGCAACATTTATGATATAATAATAGAAGAGCGTGTCATTATAATTTACAGTAAGTATTTATAAAGTGTACCTTGACCAAAATCTAATTAAATTGTTGCAGTAGCCTGTAGGAGCTCTGGATCTTCTTGCAACTTCCAATATCTAACTACTCTTAATAGCAATAAATATATCAGACAGATTTTTTCATCTAAGTTTCTGGGAAGAGAGGTACAAGAGTTTCTTTTGCCAAATTTAAGTGAAGATTAAGCCAATAAATTTATCTTCAGAATCATCTTTAGTATGTATTGTCTCACAACCTATTGGATTTCAACCTGCCAAGTTTAACTGCATTACCAACTTATTTAGTACTTGATCCAAAAATAGGCAGTAAATCAGTAAGACAATTATCAGAAGTATCAGGAGTCTGGCAGCCCTGCGACAAAGAGGATTCATGTTTATTCAAAATTTTGCAAATCACATTACTTTCTTTAGTATGGATTCTTGGTAAAGCACAAGTGCCAGAGTACATCAATAAACTTCAGAAGCTTTGTTTAGACCAGAAAATAGAGGACAATGAAACATCATGAAGCTATAGTCCTCATCCTATCCACAACATTTTGTACTGAACAATTAGTATTTGAATCTGATGCCTCTGCCCCAGCTCATGTATTTGGATATCAGAAGGAAATCAATAGAGTTGAACAAATTATTCATTCATGGTGGTGTGGCTTGGGTGAAGCAAATGAAGGGAAGCTTGTGAGATGTCTAAGGGAGGGGCCAGCTCCATGAATGGACTACTTGTTGGTTTATGCCTAAACTAGCTTTTGTTTGGGATATTGAAGATATTAGTCGTTAAGAACTTCTTGGTGTTATGTTTCTTTTAAGCTAATATAATAACTATATTACCTGTTCATCTCCTTGGTTGCTTACCTTACCTGATAGAAATTGTGTCTTACTGAGTTTCGGACTTTGCTCTGCAGATGTGTTACTCAATGTGGTGCCTCTCTTTCTCTCTCTCTCTCTCTCTGACACGTGTGTGTGTCTGAAAATTTCCAGAAAGAAACGGAATGTGAAAACAATTGTATGAGCTTTTTGAAGCAGAGATGAAGTCTGCGCGCTTAATTTCATGTTGCATAGAAGAAACAATTAGTGTGTTTGGATTGAGAAGATTTGAAATAAAATAATTTGCTTCACAAATTCCAATCACTTTTTTATCTCACATACATCACATCACAAAAAGTGCTACAGTAATTATCTCAAATAAATCATCCAAATAAGCTCCTATCCAAACAAACTAATGTTGCGTGGAGCCCATGGACACTGAATGACATTTTGCATATTGGCTATCTACATACTAAATTGCCATGTGCATTCAATAATTTCTCAACACCTTATTAATTCGTCAGTTGGCCACGGAAGTCACTTATGGGCTCAGATTAAGTTGAAGGGATTTCTGAAACTGTTTGGAAAGAAACTTTTATGGCATTTTAGATAATAGATAGATTATAATTTAACAGATCTCTTAAACACAGCCAATTATTCATTTCCAGAGGGGGCATGTATAGAAAAGATGGTATGAACTAAGAGCCAAAGCATATGAAGTGGTTAGCATCTCAGAGAAGAAAGCAAAAGAACAAAATATGTGAAGGATTTGGTTATGTCTAAAGAATAGATGAAGGTATTTGAGCTTCTTGTCTTTTGTTTTATGACTGATTTGGCAGTTATCCAAATCATTTCAGGTTTTGGAACAATAATCTGTGTACTATAAAGAAATTATGTGTAATCCATTTATTCTTTCGAAAGGAGTGCTTTTGCTGCTTAGTGTGCTTTCTTTGTTGGTGCTGGTTTTCTATTCTAGGTGTAACAGAAGTGGCACTGACTTTTCATCAGTCATTATTTAACTGCCATTTGTTTGTGTAATTTAATATAAACCCTTTCTGGTCATTCCAACCTTATGGACAGGATATATACTGGAAGTTTGGAAGTTGCCTGCCATTTCGCAGTCTGTATGAGTAGTGTGTTCTTTCTCATGGTTTGAATTGAAGTTGCTTGTCGGGAAGCTCAAGCTTCCACTGTAGCTTTTTGGCAATCAAAGCCCAAGTTGTTTTTCCCAGAAAACTCAGATGCTCTGCTCTTCTGCTAACCTTTTTTTTTTAATTATTTACATTTGATAGATGTTGTTGAATTTTCTGTCCCGTAAAATGCTAAAATCCTGCCTAGTATATATCTTTTTTCTTGTTTTGCCCATTTATCTTCTTTTTTAGTGCATCTAATGTGATCTTTTTTTGGGTCCTTTTGTTGAACATGTTTTACTTGTTATGACATTTTGTTTGGTTGCATGTGACATACTATATGTCGTAATGTTCTTGTTTCTAGTCTATTTGGGTTTACTACTCTGCCTACTATCTGCTTTGCTTGGTGAATTTGCTGCTCCCCACCTGTGATTCCCACTGCCATCAATGGTTTATCTTTCAACCATATTTCATTACCCTGGCCTGGATGCATTAAGTGAAATTGGGGATTCACCTTATTGCCTATTTTACTATGTTAAAGTTCGGCATTACTTTTTCTGGGGTTATTTTGAACTGTTTGCACTCTTTTGTCAGTTGCAATTTGTATCGTGGCATGCATAACCATGTCTACGATTAATCAGATTTTCGGCCGATACCATTACTGCTTCTCTGGTTTCTGTGTTATAGGGGGAAATTCATTCTTGTGGGTCTGCTTCATTTAGGCTTCTGGTAGGAAGATCTAGATGTTCAAAACTATCTACTGAAGTGAAAGTTAATCCTTGCAGTACAAAGTTCTTGGCCAGTTGCTGTGCCATAAATTATAAATTTGTTTCGCAATTTAATTAAAGCAGCTTAATTAAGGTTTTCCCTGATTTCTTAAATGGCTTCTTTTGATCTGTCTTGATCCCTTAGTTTTTTTACTCTAACTTCTCTTATGTTCCCTTTCCTATTTACTTTTCTTCTTTTGTTTTCTAAGACTAGGATGGCTGGGAGATTTTTTTCTTCAAAGAATCAGTAGTGGTTCCCCACTTACTCCTTGACAAGGTGAAATGTGCTACCAATTAGGCTGCGTTTCGTTGTCAATGACCGGGATTCTTGAGAAGTGCTCCCCGAGTCTCGTTATCAGGTTCACTATTACAGAGTACATAGTTTGACAAAATTTTCCAATGAGAACAATCATACAAGGGATGGTATACTTGGTATGAGCAGCCTGACAGCAACAAGTATTCAAGAGCTTCTCCAATTAGTCTTGAGAGTCTTGGCCTTTCTTCTCCAGTTCCAGGGTAACTGGTGAGATTCTCCAATTTCAGCCTTCAGAAACTGTGAAGGCTTTCTTGAGTAGTAGTAGTAGTAGCAGTAGTAATGGTTTTGACTCAAGGGCCAGGCAAATCTCATGGGCAACAGCTTCAGTCCTGACAAACCAGTGATTTTGACTTCCTTCTCTATTCCTGCAAAAGTCTTCCTGTACCACCCCACTTGTGAATGGGATCAGAAAAAATTCTCCGAAACTTTCAATCTCTTATAAGTTGATTGCTTTGTGTAAGCCTAGTAGTAAACTGTGCATAAGTGGAAGAAGAAGTGAAGAAAAGTAGAGAAGAGGAAAATGAGAAGTCGATTTCTTAAATCGACTCAGAAGTCAATTTTTGGAGGAATGGAATTTGCAGTATTAATGTAGATAGCCCAAATTATGACATAACTCAGAAGTTATCAAATATGTTGGCAAATCACTATCTTCTGCGGCAGCAACGACAAGATTAAACTTACAAAAACATTTTTTATCAGCAGGAAAAATCTCATAAATTCAGAATTTAGTCAAAAAAGAAAGAAGGTGCAACTCAGAGAGAAAAAAACCAGGGGGGGGGGGGCGGGAGTATTATTACCTATACCAAAACAATGTTGAATTTTTTTTTACTAAAAAAAGTCTAGACTGTCTAGTGAGGATATTCTTTTCTTTTCTTCATTTTGTTTCACACTACTAGGGGGGAATGTTTGCGCATCGCGCGAGTGTTTTGTGTCTGTGGGGAAGGAAGTTTTTTTGTTGAACAAACAATAGTACATTATGAGAAGAAATAAAACTTAGTATGAAAAAATAAACGATATAATCAATCAATTCACACAACATTATAATAAAACTGTGTCAAATTGAAAGTCATTGATAATGCAGAAAGGCAGGGTAACACAGAAAACTAATCTTATTCCAAAATTCCCACCGAGAGTTCTTACTTGCTGTTGCTCCAAACCTATAAAATTATAACCAATCCAGACCAATTGAGGTTAAGCAACGCGATAAGAGTCGCTAATTGTAGGTACTAAGAACACATCGACAAAATTAAGGGAGGAACTGAAAAATTGGGGTGGGGTGAAATATAACCTCACTCTGAACCACCAGGAATGACTGGGATTGAAGAGCATTCTGAGTTGATTAGTATGAAGCCAGGTAGAATTATCCCAATCCTAAAATGCGAACAGGGAGAAACTGATAATCAATCGTTTATGCATTAACTTACCAACGGTTTGGCAATTGAATTGGGTGTAATTAATGACAAAATAATAGGTAATTTTAGAGTTGAGTTCGGATGGAAGAGAAAACGATGAGACAAATCGTTATAGACAAAGGCAAAAAGAGAAAACTTAACTCCTGAAACTGAAAGGGGATAAACTGACCAACGTTTGTGGCTCATAAATGTAGATTATAAATAATAGATAAATGAGTTCCTACCATTGATAGAGAAATCGTTGGCTCATTTCCTAAATCCAATTGTCATTCAAACGTTTCAAACAAAGCAACATCTCAAACGGTTATCTGCAGTGAAAAGGGGAATTATTGATAGCTAAGGGATATTCCGGTAATTACACCAACACACAAGCATATATGGATTGTACAAATGTAAAAACGGTTGCACACTAATTATACATTCTATTAATACCCAAATGGCTCATTAATGGGCGAATTTCTTAGTATATTGTCGATTTTGAAAAAGTTCACAAAATTGGGGTTGCGTGGGGAGTTTTACTGGTTAAGGGGTCGCCGCAATTAGGAGTGGAGGCGACTAGAAAAAAGAGTTTTAATTTTAATTTTTTTTGGTTTCATTTTTTGGTTCTGTAAAAAAAAAAAAAAAAATCTTGACCGCTCATGAGTAGGGGTGGCAATTTCTGACACGACCCGAAAACACGACACGAACCTAACAAGAAATTAATGGGTTTGGGTTGAGGTTTTGGGAGTTCGGGTCAGAATCGGGTCGAACCCGATGAACCCGAAAAGAAAACAGGTCAATTTCGGGTCAACCCGTGGTGACCTGATATGACCCGATGTGACCCGTTTACGAATTAAAACTAATTTAATAAACATAAAAATTATTTTATCTAACTAAACTAAATCATTTTTTTTCCAAAGGCATTAATTACTTAATCCTAAATGAATTTATTTAACTTGTGTGAAGTTAAAATTATTATATTTGGACAAATAATATATTATGTTATTTTTTACTTTTATGTTGTTTTAATTTAAATTATATTTGGTTTGGAATAAAACACTTTTATGGTGTTTAATTTATTTTAGATTTGGTTTGAAATTATTTATTTAAATTTTTATTACTTGATGATGTAATTAATTTTGTGAAAAATTTGATTTTATTAGAAATTACAGTGATAAATTAATAAATTAAAATTAAGTTTCGGGTCATTTCGGGTCGACCCGCCAACCCGCCAACCCGAAATTTTCGAGTTCGTGTCAGGTACCCTGACCCCTTTCGGGTTGGCGGGTCGGGTTCGAGTCAGCAGGTTCTTTGTTATACTTAAGCCTCAACCCGACTCGCCAACCCGAACCTGACCCGTTTGCCACCCCTACTCATGAGATGAGCGGCAAAGGAATCTTCCAAATGAGCGGCGAAACTTTTGTCTTTTGTTATTTTTTTTTCCTTTTTTCTCCGAAGCATTCTTCCTATCT